AGTCGCAGTGGCAACGGCAGTCGCAGTCACAGCCTCAGCCTCAGCCTGTGCCTCAGCCTCAGCCTGCCTCAGCCTCAGCCTGCCTCAGCCTCAGCCTCCTCAGCCTGCCTCAGCATCAGCCTGCCTCAGCCTCAGCCTCAGCCTGCCTCAGCCTCAGCCTCAGCCTGCTTCAGCCTCAGCCTCAGTCTGCCTTCAGCCTCGGCCGCAGCCTCAGCCTGCCTCAGCCTCAGCCTGCATCAGCCTCAGCCTCAGCCTCAGCCTGCCTCAGCATCAGCCTGCCTCAGCCTGAGCCTCAGCCTCAGCCTCGGCCTCAGCCTCAGCCTGCTTCAGCCTCAGCCTCAATCTGCCTTCAGCCTCGGCCTCAGCCTCAGCCTGCCTCAGCCTCAGCCTGCATCAGCCTCAGCCTCAGCCTCAGCCTGCCTCAGCATCAGCCAGCCTCAGCCTCAACCTCAGCCTGCCTCTGCCTCAGCCTCAGCCTCAGCCTGCTTCAGCCTCAGCCTCAGTCTGCCTTCAACCTCGGCCTCCGCCTCAGCCTGCCTCAGCCTCAGCCTGCATCAGCCTCAGCCTCAGCCTCAGCCTGCCTCAGCCTCAGCCTGCCTCAGCATCAGCCTGCCTCAGCCTCAGCCTCAGCCTGCCTCAGCCTCAGCCTGCCTCAGCCTCAGCCTCAGCCTGCTTCAGCCTCAGCCTCAGTCTGCCTTCAGCCTCGGCCTCAGCCTCAGCCTGCCTCAGCCTCAGCCTGCATCAACCTCAGCCTCAGCCTCAGCCTGCCTCAGCATCAGCCTGCCTCAGCCTCAGCCTCAGCCTGCCTCAGCCTCAGCCTCAGCCTGCTTCAGCCTCAGCCTCAGTCTGCCTTCAGCCTCGGCATCAGCCTCAGCCTGCCTCAGCCTCAGCCTGCATCAGCCTCAGCCTCAGCCTCAGCCTGCCTCAGCATCAGCCTGCCTCAGCCTCAGCCTCAGCCTGCCTCAGCCTCAGCCTCAGCCTGCTTCAGCCTCAGCCTCAGTCTGCCTTCACCCTCGGCCTCAGCCTCAGCCTGCCTCAGCCTCAGCCTGCCTCAGCCTCAGCCTCAGCCTCAGCCTCAGCCTGCCTCAGCCTCAGCCTCAGCCTGCCTCAGCCTCAGCCTGCCTCAGCCTCAGCCTCAGCCTGCTTCAGCATCAGCCTCAGTCTGCCTTCAGCCTCGGCCTCAGCCTCAGCCTGCCTCAGCCTCAGCCTGCATCAGCCTCAGCCTCAGCCTCAGCCTGCCTCAGCATCAGCCTGCCTCAGCCTCAGCCTCAGCCTCAGCCTGCCTGAGCCTCAGCCTCAGCCTGCTTCAGCCTCAGCCTCAGTCTGCCTGCAGCCTCGGCCTGCTTCAGCTCAGCCTCAGCCTCGCATCAGCCTTAACCTCAAGCCGCTTCAGCCTCAGCCCTCAGCTGCCTCTAGCCTCAGCCTCAGCCTCAGGTGCCTCAGCCTCAGCCTGCATCAGCCTCAGCCTCAGCCTCAGCCTGCCTCAGCTCACCCTGACCAGCCTCAGCCTCAGCCTGCCTCAGCCTCAGCCTGCTTCAGCCTCAGCCTCAGTCTGCCGTCGGCCTCGGCCTCAGCCTCAGCCTGCCTCAGCCTCAGCCTGCATCAGGCTCAGCCTCAGCCTCAGCCTGCCTCAGCATCAGCCTGCCTCAGCCTCAGCCTCAGCCTGCCTCAGCCTCAGCCTCAGCCTGATTCAGCCTCAGCATCAGTCTGCCTTCAGCCTCGGCCTCAGCCTCCGCCTGCCTCAGCCTGAGCCTGCCTCAGCCTCAGCCTCAGCCTCAGCCTGCCTCAGCATCAGCCTGCCTCAGCCTCAGCCTGCCTCTGCCTCAGCCTCAGCCTGCTTCAGCCTCAGCCTCAGTCTGCATTCAGCCTCGGCCTCAGCCTCAGCCTGCCTCAGCCTCAGCCTGCCTCAGCCTCAGCCTCAGCCTCAGCCTGCCTCAGCATCAGCCTGCCTCAGCCTCAGCCTCAGCCTGCCTCAGCCTCAGCCTCAGCCTGCTTCAGCCTCAGCCTCAGTCCGCCTTCAGCCTCGGCCTCAGCCTCAGCCTGCCTCATCCTCAGCCTGCCTCAGCCTCAGCATCAGCCTGCCTCAGCATTCAAAATGTGGCCCGGGAATGGAGTTCTGGGAACTCGAAGAACACGAAGTGGCCTACAGTTGGCTCCGGGCATTCAAAATCATGCCCAGGAATGGAGTTCTGGGAACTCGAAGACCACGAATTGGCCTACAGTTGGCTCCGGGCATTCAAAATCATGCCCAGGAATGGAGTTCTGGGAACTCGAAGACCACGAAGTGGCCTACAGTTGGCTCCGGGCATTCAAAATCATGCCCAGGAATGGAGTTCTGGGAACTCGAAGAACACGAAGTGGCCTACAGTTGGCTCCGGGCATTTAAGATCATGCCCAGGAATGGAGTTCTGGGAACTCGAAGACCACGAAGTGTTTTACTGTTGGCTAAAAAAGGAGTCCCCGGATTCCCGTCCGGATCCCGTCCGGATCCCGCCCAGACCCCCCTGGGGAGTCATGATGCTCTCTTTTGACCCGACTAGAAACCTATCAGTCTTCGCTGTTAGGTAAAAAAATCGAGAAGGGGCATGGTACACATTTAGGACCAGCGCCCCTACCACCCAACATCACCTCGGCACCTTCATTCGTAATGGGAAGCTGGACCAACGTGCGAACGTTCTGACATACCTGGAACGCGCTATGTCTTGGGCCACGCTTGGCATTCAGACCCGACTGGCATGCTTAAAGTATTATATTGTTTTTTAACCGAAAAATGCTGATTTCCGTTTTCGCCCCTTCGCATGAAATGGGCCATGGTATGTGTTGCTCTGGCGGACGATGGCTAGCCGCTTTCCGCATCATATCAACCAACGTGCCCCCTGGCACGTTGACGCGTGGCAGAATGCCAAGGGTGGTCTGGCAGGGTTCCAGTATCATTCTAAGGAGGAGGAGGAGGAGGAAGAGGAGGAGGAGGAGGAGGACGAGGAGGACGAAGAGGCGGTGGAGGAGGACGAGGAGGAGGACCCCCTCTCGTCGCAGAGTGTCGAGGTTCCAGGACGGCCAAGACAGGCAGCCAAGGCCGCCAGAATGGCCCAAGATTCCTCGAAGGCGGCCCAAGATTGCCCCAAGGCGGCCCAAGGGGGGCCTCTGGACGGCCTAAGATGCCCCCAAACAGGCCCAAGAAGGCCACAAGAAAACCCGTAACAGGGTCCAAAGACGCCAGAACAGTTAGATTGTGGAAAGATCTGCATATTCCCGTCTACATCCTCATCTTTTCGGGCTTCCATCAGCTCAAGACGGCCCAAGAAACGTCTAAGATGGCCCGAAGACAGCCCAAGAGGCCCCTAACATGATCCCAAGATGGCTCAAGAGGACTCCACGATGGCCCAAGAGGCATGCAAGACCTCCGGAAGGACCCAAGACAGCCTTAGAAGACCCTTCGACGGCCCAAAACGGCGCCCAGGAGGCCCCACGACGGCACCCAGACACCCTCCCATGCGGCCAAGGCAGCCCTGAGAAGGCCCAAATGAGCTCCACGGGAGCTCCTCCTCCCCTTGTACACCTTCCCTTCCCCTTTTCCTCCCACTTCTCACCAGCCGGCACCGGAGCAACAATACTGACGCCGCATAATCTCCTACCCCCTACTCAGACTCTCTACCTGCTCCTGCACTCCTCCTCCTGCCTCTACTATCCGCGTGCGAAGCCGCAAGAATCCTAAGACTCCGCATAATCACCTCCTCCTCCTCCCACCCATTCATCATCATCATCATCATCATCATCATCATCACTCATCCACATCATCATCATCCATCACATCATCACATCATCATAACATCATCATCATCATCATCTCATCATCACCCATCATCACCATCATCATCATCATCATCATCATCCATCACATCATCATCATCATCATCTATCATCATCATAATAATAATCGGCAGCAGCAGAGGCATCATCAATAACAGCATCATAAGCAGCATCAGCAGTAGCAGCAGAAGCAGCAGCAGCAGAAGCAGCAGCAGCCATCATTATTCTCAGCATCAGCATCATCATCATCATCATCATCAGCATCCTCATCCTCCTCCTCCTCATCATCATCGTCGTCGTCATCGTCATCACCATCATCAGCAGCATCAGCATCATCATCATCATAATCATCATCATCATCATCATCAACATCATCATCATCATCCTGAAAATACTCAACACGGCACTCCAACTCTGGGGGGCACGAATTGTCGCACGTGACGGTCTCCCGTGCCCCCTCCAAGAGCGTCCACCTAGAATACTGGGCTGGCACAGTGGCGGGACTCGTCGCAGGCAGCTGAATATTCCTGAATGTCTCGATAATGCGAGAAGCAAAGATTTTCAAAGAATCGTGCTACGACAGCCTCGCCTACTGCTAGCGCGCGTGCCAGAAACATGAATCAAAGCCAAGATACCATCCCATGCTCGTTCGCTTGCTATCACCCAGTAACGGTGAGGAAGAAAAGCCTACACGCAATTTCCACATGACGTTGCATGAGTCTACTACCCCATGCTCACTATCATATCCCATATTTCCTCCTTCTACTCCTGCGCATCCACATCCTCCATCTCCTCCAAATCCTGATCCTGACTGCACGTCTTTCCCATAATATCCGCATCCCGCTGTTGAATCAGGCCACCTCTACGGGAATGTCTGGCGATCTGCCTCTATCGTCAGCCTGTTACGACCACCGCCTATACTTCGACTTATGACTTTACTACGATTGATAATGTTACGACGTACTGTGGATGTGAATGCTACCACTCGCGATACAAAAAAATAGAGCAATAACCACTAATGCCACCACAATGTCCCGCTACTACTTCCGATACTGCAACTTCACCCGCTCCATCTTTGGTCAGAAGACGACACAGCGCGGACGCGGATGATGTTGTGCTGCAAGGGCAAGGCGACCTAGCACGTAGGCTTGCAAAGACAATGCCGCTGACCGATTGCGGGTCACTTGACCTCACGTCGGCCGCCGCCGATACAAGTTTACAAGGGGCTGCAGCTCCCGGTGGACCAGACGTCCTTGGGACGAGCGTCTCTCGGAGAGAACAGGGAGGCTCTTAACCTTCGGCAGGGAGCGGCTCTGCTCTGGGACCATGCGGCCGTAAGTGTCGTCCAGGGAGTCGAGCTTACGATGACGCCTCGCTGCCAGCGCCCCCCTCTCCCCTGCGAATGGCTTCAGCGCCTCCAGCATGCTCGGCACAGGTGCCTCCGGCATCAGCTTCTGCGAGTAGTCGTAAGCGTTGAAGTTGCGTAGGCTCATGATGCTTCCTGGCGCTGTCGGGCAGAGAGGGGGCAGAATAAAATGGGGCGCCGAAGTATCAGCGACATACAGTGGGCTCGCTGGGGAAGGACCCAATGAACGAAGAATCACCCGCTTCCTCCTCCTCCCCTCCCTACCTCCATCCCTCCTCCTCCTCCTCCTCCTCCCCCTCCCCCTCCTCCTCCTCCTCCTCCTCCTCCTATCATCATCCATCACATCATCAGCATCATCATCATCATCACATCTCAATCAGCATCATGATCATCATCATGGCATCACAGCATCATCGTCATATCATCCTCGCAATCTATCACGTCATCATCATCCACATCTCTTATCATCACCATCATCAATCATCATCATCATCCTCATCATCATCATCATCATCATCATAACATTCGTCATCATCATCAGCATCAGCATCAGGCATTATCATCATCATCATCTCACCAACCGTCCCCATCATCATCATCATCATAATAATCATCATAATCATCATCATCATAACATCGGCAGCAGCGCATCATCATCATCAATCTAGCATCCATAGCAGCATCATCAGTGCGGCTCCATCCGTGCCCTCCCGTAAGTCGTGCCCCTCCATCATATTGCTCCGCATCAGCGGCTTGGCCCCTCTGCTGACATCCTCATCCTCCTCCTCCTCATCATCATCGTCGTCGTCATCGTCATCACCATCATCAGCAGCATCAGCATCATCATCATCAGCATCATCATCATCAACATCATCATCATCATCATCATCATCATCATCATCATCGTCATCGTCATCAGCATCAGCATCAGCATTATCCTCATCATCATCATCATCATCATCATCATCATCATCATCATCACCATCATCACCATCATCATCATCATCATCATCAGCAGCAGCAGCAGCAGCAGCAGCATCATCATCATCATCATCATCATCATCATCATCATCATCATCATCATCATCATCATCATCATCATCATCCTCGTCCTCATCCTCACCCTCATCTCCATCCTCATCTTCCTCATCAGATTCCTCCTTTTTCACCTTTCATCCTTGATCCTTACTCCCTCCTCGCTCCTCCTTTTCATCCGCTGACTTTCCTCCCCATCACCCTACCCAACGTCCTCCTCCTGCAGACTCACTCTTGATCCCAAATGGTCCAACCAACTAACAGACTCCTCCTTATACTCGACTTCGTCCTCCTCCTACAATCATGGCCTGCTACGTCGGCGGGCTGCAGGGGTTGCCAGACTACGCGGAGGATCTGTCGGGAGGATTGGCTGCCTGGACAACGCACTCCGCTCTGCGTCATGTGCAATGAGAAAGAAGGGGAGGGGCACTTCTGTGGCCCGCTACATTTCCGCCCTAGGCCCCCGCCCGTCTACAGACCGCTGAATAGCTTTCCAGCACGGGGAAGCAAGGCCAATAGAGAGTACGGAGGCGACATCGCGCTACGGTCGGATGCATGAGCTCCCTCTGGGGCCTCGACGTTGCTCACACCTATCTTTGGGGAGGTTTGTGTTCTGAGGATCTCAACCTGCCCACGCCCATCCGCTCTGGCTGTGGAGTCAGCCGTCGGCGGCTCCCCCGCCCTGACGTCGCTACATCTGCTCGCTCCCCCCCGCCCCTGCTCCCGCTCTCCTCTGTTGCTCGGAAGCGCCTGTGCATGCTTCAGTCAAGAGCCGTTCAGCCTTCTGCTCAACAATTTTGCTGTCAGCACCTGTCGCACACCGCCCATGCGGCTCAGCCGCCCCTGGTGCCTAGCTTCTTTTTGCGCCCCGCCCCTGTGACACGTGGCATGCCCCACGCGTGACCAGGCGCGGTCAGGCACTTTGCCGACATTGCCGCCGTAGGCGGCGTCGCGCCCTCAGCTCGGCCCCGCCGACAGCTCGCCAGCTGGATTTGTGCTCGGCTGCCGGGGCTGCGGCCCGGACGGCTGTCCGAGCCTTGTTCTGTCGCGCCGCGTGGCACGATCGCGCGTCTCCTCGCGCTGTCCTCGCTTCTCCGCGCTCTCCCCCTTGTGTCTGCTGTGGCGGCGGTGGCGCCTGCGGTCTCCAAACGCCAGCGCAGGAGGCAACGGCCCCTGTCCCTTTTTGGGGGCCCCCTGGCTGGCCGCGCCACGGGGGGCCTGGGCTGAAGGGGTCGGCGGTGCCCGGGGGGGCGCGGGGATGCTGCGCCCCTCGGGGGCTTTCCCGCTGGAGGGCTGCGGCGCTGCGGCTGGTGCGGCACGCTCTGCTGGCTGCCCCGGCTGCTTGACTGTCCTGGCTGGCAGTCGGAGTGCGTGCGCCGTGGGCGAATGCGTCGTTCACGGCCGCCCTGTCGTGTCTGCACGACCGCGCGTCTCCTCGTCTTCTCTTTGTCTCTCCCTCTCTCTCTCTCTCTCTCTCTCTTTCTCTCTTTCTCTTTCTCTCGCTCACTTTTTTAATAGTAACGGCGGTCGTCTGGCTGGGTGGCCAACTCGCCGCGCACGTTTGCCTTTACAGTGGCTCGGTGGGTTGATGCTGTTCACCTCTGTCCGTCTTACAGGCGCTTGAATGCGACACTGTAATGGTTGCTGGCAGGTTGTGCGATCAAAAATGTATTCATGCACCCGCTTCCAGTGTTGAAGTATTGGGCGCGGCTGATGACGCAGCCTCTTTGGTTCGCTGCGGCCGGCGTTGTCACGCGTCGTTGGCTACCTCACCCATCATCGCGGTCGCTTTGCGGTGCTGGTCAATTGGTCGACACCCTACCAATCTGCCTCGCAGGACCGCTGGGTTGGCCACAGACACCTATCAGCCTAGCAGCGTTTATCATTTGCGTTTCACTGGTGAACACCGCTCTGGTGAAGCAGTGGCCACAATTGGCCCCGGGCTGGCGCGATTCAGTTCATTTTAAACCGAGTACACTCCTTGTTTTCTGACCGCTGCATGTTCCGCTTGGACTTAAAGTTCCTCTAACCCACCCACCGCTTGCACGTTGCAGTGTGCGGCTTTTGTACGATGCGCCATCGACAATGCCCGGCCGCAATTTGCACTTTCACCTGCTGCTCGCGCCCGAGGACCCTATGCACCGCTGATTTTTCCACACCAAGAAAAAGGCGTGAGTTAGTTCGGGGGGGGGGCGTGCAGAGAGCGCTGAACCTTCACCCAGCCCGTTGTTGTATAACTGGATGGATGGCGTGGCGGCCACAAACTGGGCGTGCTGGGCCAGCGGGCTCCTGCTCCCGAGCGGGCGTTCCCTCGACATCGTAGCCGAATTGTTTGAATGATCCTCCTCCTCCTCCTCCTCCTCCTCCTCCTCCGTCCTTTTCCTCTCCTCCTCTTCTTCTCATGGTTATGATTATTGGCACTTTTATTAGTAGTCTTATTATTAGTAGCGTTATGACTCTCATTGTTAGTATTATTCGTCTTATTAGCATACTAATAACAGAAATAAAAATGTTATTATTATTCGAATTAGTATTAATCATATGTTCATCCACATTATTACCACTCGCGAATTATTACCATCCACATTATTAATAATAATACGCTCATCCACATTCGAATTATTATTAATAATACGCTCATCCACTGTTGTTACGATGCGTCGTCTTATTAGTATCCTTAGTATAAGTATGCGCCTTCTTTGCATTATCAATATTACGTGTATTATTCCTATCATTCGTAGTAGTACTAATAGTCTCAGTGATATTACTAGTGATTCTTCTTACCGGTAGTATTATTATCCGTGGCATTATTATTAGTATTCGCATGATGTTTTTATTACTATTATCCGTACTGTCCTTCTTAATATGATTCATATTATTCGTCCTCTTAGTACTATTCCCGGCGGAGCCGGGTGAAATTCCGTGCCCGCCGGTGACTGACTGATTGAGTGATTGACTGACTGATTGGCTGACTGACTGACTAACTGATTGACTGACTGAACGGCAGGAGGGCACCTTGAACAAAACATTTCAAACCGCCCGCGGGGGCGCAACCGCAACTGAGCGACACATTCCGACCCGTTCGCGGGCGCGCAACCGCAACCGCAACTGGGCGACACATGTCAACCCGCCCGCGGGCGCGCAACCGCAACCGCACCTGAACGACACATTTCGACCCGCCCGCGGGCGCGCAACCGCAACTGGGCGACACATACATTTCAGACCGTTCGCGGGCGCGCAAAAGCAACCAGGCGACACATTTCAAACCGCCCGCGGGCGCGCAACTGCAACCGCTACTGGGCGACACATTTCAGACCGCCCGCGGGCGCGCAACCGCAACCGCACCTGGGCGACACATTCCAACCCGCTCGCGGACGCGCAAAAGCAACTACGTGACACATTTCAACCCGCCCGCGGGCGCGAAACCGCAACCGCAACTGGACGACACACTTCAACCCGCCCGCGGGCGCGCAACCGCAACCGCAACTGGGCGACACATTTCAACCCGCCCGCGGGCGCGCAACCGCAACCGCAACTGGGCGATACATTTCAACCCGCCCGCGGGCGCGCAACTGCAACCACAACTGGGCGACACATTTCAATCCGCCCGCGGGCGCGCAACCGCAACCGCAACTGGGCGACAAATTTCAGACCGCGCGCAACCGCAACTGGGCGACACATTTCAACCCGCCCGCGGGCGCGCAACCGCAATCCCAACTGGGCGACACATTTCAACCCGCCCGCGGGCGCGCAACTGAAACCGCACCGCTCACCTGCCGCCCTCCCCCAGGGGATCTGAGGCGGAGGAAAGGCGGGAGGGAGGTGGGAGAGAGGGGGAGGGGGGAGGGAGGCGGGAGGGAGGAGAGAGTAGGGGGGGGAGAGGAGACGGAGGGAGGGTAGAGAGCTCACAATGATTGGGGGCGGACAACTTCTGCCCCCCGTTCCACGCAAGTGGCTCTCCACGAGGCTCCAGGCCCTGGATTCCTGATCCAAGGCCTCCACGGCCTGCTGGCGGGATGGGTGGGTTAACCGCCCCCGCGGGGGGAGACGAGGCTTTGACAGAAGCGGCCCGCTGCACCGCCTAGTTTGAAGTTGGGGGGGCGATGCCGCGGGGATCGATTGCGCGTTTACCCGCGCGCAAGTTGCGCGCGGATGTAGGTGCATCGGCGCCGTCTTATTCACGCAGCCTGCCGCGTCTTGTCCATGATCTGGCGCAGGAGCAGGTGGAGGAGGAGGGGGAGGAGGACGAGGAGGAGGTAAGGGAGGAGTAGGAGGAGCAGCAGGACGAGGAGGAGGATGAGGAGGAGGAGGAGGAGGAGCAGCAGGACGAGGAGGAGGAGGAGGAGGACCAGGATGGCCAGGAGGAGGAGGACGATGGGGAAGGGGGATGCCAGGGTGGTGCTGCTTGAGGTGCACGAGCAGCTGCTTGTTGCGGAGGACTGAGGAGGATGAGGTGGTGGACGCCAAGGAGGATGTAAGTGGATGTCCTCCTCGCGGCCTCCGGGCGTGACCCGCGGTTCTCCGCCGGGAAATTGCAGCAGGGAATCCCCATGACACGCTGCTGCCTCTGGTTATTCTTCGGGTTCTTCTTCAAGTAAGTATTATTCTTATGCAAAGTGTTATTATTTATCCTCCTGCTCCTCCTCCTCCGCCTCCTCCTCCTCCTCATCCTCCGCCTCCTCTTCCTCCTCGTTCTCCTCCGTCATTCACCTCCTCCTACTCCTACTCCTCCTCATCATCATCAGCATCATCAGCATCAGCATCATCAGCATAATCATCACCATCATCATCATCATCATCATCATCATCATCATCATCATCATCATCCTCCTCATCCTCATCCTCATCCTCATCCTCATCCTCATCATCATCATCATCATCATCATCATCATCATCATCATCATCATCATCATCATCATCATCATCATCCCTCTCCTCCCCCCCCCGCTGCTTCCCCTCCGTTCTTCCCCCCGTCCGCGCGCGACGGGAGCACGCGCGCGCGTGCAAGCGGAGGAGGAGAGGAGGGAGGAGAGGAGGGAGGCGAGGGGGAGTGGAGCAAGAGAGGCAGCAGGTGGACAGAGCGAGACGGAGGGCCAGTGAACCCAGGATGTGTCGACGATGCTGTCCAGGAGGCTTCAAGAAGGCATCAATACTCAACCTCCTCCCCATCCTCCTCCCCCCTCGCATCTTCCAACTCCTACCCATCATCCCCCAACACCCCATTATCATCAGCAGCAGCAGAAGAGTCGTCGTCACTTACCTCACGATCATCAGCATCAGCAACATCAGCATCATCATCATCATCATCATCATCATCATCATCATCATCATAATCAGTATCAGCAGCAGCAGCATCATCATCATCATCATCAGCATCAGCATCAGCATCAGCATCATCATCGGCAGCATAATCATCATCAACAACAACATCATCACCATCATCATCCTCATCATGTTCATCACCATCGTCATCCTTATTACCATCGTCGACATCATCATCAGCACCGTCATCATCAGCATCATCATAACCATCAGCATCCTCATGAATATCAGCATCAGCAGCATCAGCATCCTCATCATCATCACCATCATCTGCATCATCCTCACCAGTATCATCAGCATCATCAGCATCATCATCAGCATCAGCAGCAGCTTCGCCAGTATCTTCATCATCAGCAGCAGCAGTATAAGTATCAACATCACGATCAAAAGCACCATCCTCGTCATCACCATCAGTAGCATCATCATAATCAGCATCATCATCAGCATCATCATCATCATCATCAGCATAGTCATCGGCATCATCTGCATCGTCATCATTATCAGCATCATCATCATCATCATCATCATCATCATCATCATCATCATCCGTGTCCTCATCATCAACATCAACATCATCATCACTACCAACATCGTCGCCAGCAGTCACATCATCACCAGCAACCACATCATCATCCTCCTCATCCTGCTCCGCCTCCCCATCCTCCTCCTCAAAATCATCAGCAGCAGTATCAGTGTTATGATCATCCTCCGCCTCCCCTTCCTCATTGCCATCAGCATCATCAGCATCGTCAACATCAGCATGATCGTCATCATCTGTGGTTGAATCATCGTCGTCAGTACCATCAGCGTCATCGTCATCATCATCAGCATCAGCATCAGCATCACCACCATCATCCTCAATATCAGCAGCAGCAACATTCCCATCATTAACATCAGCATCATCATGCTCAGGATCACCGACGTCGTCGTCATCTGCGTCGTCGTCGTGATCGTCGTCATCAGCATCATCATTATCAGCATCAGCAGCATCAGCATCAGCATCATCATCATCAAATGGAAGCAGCAGCATCACCATAGGCACCATCGGCATCATCAACATCATCGTCATCACCATCAGCAGCATTATCACCGCATTCATCATCATCATCCTCATCATCATCCTGATAGTCATCACCATCATCACCACCATCACAATCATTATCATCATCACCACTACCACCATCATCATCATCGTCGCCAGCCTCACCATGATCATCATCATCATCATCACCATCATCATCCTCATTATCATCCTCATCACCTCAGAAATGCCATCATCAGCAGCATCATCGTCCTCATCATCGTCATCGTTATCGCCACCGTCATCGTCATCGTCATTGTCGCCATCATCATCAGCAGCATCGTCGTCAGCACCACCATCAGCATCAGCATCATCATCAGCAGCATCAGCATCAGCATCGGCATCATCATCAGCATCATAATCAGCATCATCAATGTCCTCATCATAGTCATCAGCATCAGCATCAGCATCATCATCATCGTCGTCGTCGGTGTCGTGATCACCACCACCACCACATCGTCACATCATAATCAGCATCAGCATCATCATCATCATCATCATCATCATCATCATCATCATCATCACGCTCATCATCAGCATCCTTCTCCTCCTCCCACTCCCACTCCTTCTCCACTTCCCTCCTCCTCCTCCTCCTCCTCATCATCATCTGCAAGACGGGAATATGTCCATATCCACCGCCTGGGCAACTGACGTCCTGGGACCCCAGCGGGCGGTGGATCTGAATATAGTTTGGCCCCAGGGGGGCCCGAAAACATATATATATATATATGTATCCATATATAGATGTAAATATCCATATCTATATCCATATCCAATATTCATATGCAAATCCATATCCATATCCATATCGACCACCTGCCGAAGTCCCTGAAGATCGACCCCCCAGACGGTGATTATCTAAACGGGCCAAGAACGTCTCAATGGGCCCTGAAGACGGGCGAGGAGAGCCTCGAGTCACCGAAAAGTTGCGTTCCGCCGCTGGCTCCAGGCAGTTTGTGCTGCGCGGCGACGGAGAAGGAGAAAAAGAACGATAAGCCAGCAGACGACGGCGAACGCGCAGGCGGGAAGCCCGGGCCGCCGGGACGAAGCAGGGGGGGGGCAGGCGGGAAGGGACAAAGCGGAGATAGCAAGCAGGGAACAAGTTGGTAGTGGTGGTTCTGGATAAACCCCCGCCTTGGATTATCCCCCCTCCTCCTCATCCTCCTCGTCGTCGACGACGACGAGGATCACGACGACGACGACGATCACGACGACGTTGACGACGAGTACGACGACGACGACGACGACGACGACGATCACGACGACGTTGACGACGAGTACGACGACGACGACGACGACGACGACGACGACGAGGACCGCGCAGTCCTGGCACGCCGATCGCGCGACGGCCCGGCGGCGGAAGCTCGGCGGGGGGCCCGGGCGCCTGTCTTGTGGGGGGGGGAGGGCCCGCGGACGCCCTGCGCTCACGCGTGGCGAACGTATCCGTACCTCGAGGCCTCCCAGATGGGGTCGGAGCACACGGGATCGGAGGGTCGCGCCGCATCGCCGATACATCGGCGATACACCGGCAATACGTCGGCCATGCATCGGCGATGCACCGGCGATGCATCGTCGACGTCCGCGATGCATCGGCGACGTCGCCGTGAAGCAAATCGGGCTGCACATCGAGCCGCATCGGCGATGCATCGGCGATGCGGCACGATCCTCCGACGCCATCCACTCCGACCCCATCTAGGAGGCCTAGAATTAGGTCGGGCATGTCCTCCTACAGGCAGATTTTGGACGAAAAATAAGAGAAATGGCCGAAAAGCGTTCACAAATAATGCAAAATGGTCGAAAAATAGTCCCCAGACTATCTTTTGACTATTTTTGAATCTTCCTCCTGTAGAGGGACAGGCCCGACTTAATCCTAGAAGACCCACGTCCTCGTGGTCTGGACTCCGAGGCGCGCGCGCGCACGGAAATGCGCGGTCGCACGGGTCCGTTCTCTGCGCGGAACACATCCGCGGCAACAAGCGACCCGTGCCCGCGGGGTCGCGGCCCCGAGGGGCCCAGCCCGCGAAGCAGCGGATACGGATATATATATATATATATATACACACATACATACATACATACATACATACATACATACATACATACATACATACATACATACATGCATGCATGCATGCATGCATGCATGCATGCATGCATGCAACGCATGCATGCATGCATGCATGCATACATACATACATACATGCATGCATGCATGCATGCATGCATGCATGCATACATACATGCATGCATACATACATACATGCATACATACATACATACATGCATGCATATACATACATGCATATACATACATACATACATAAACATAAAGTCATGCATACATACATACATGCATACATACATGAATGCATGCACGCATGCATGCATACATACAAACATACATACATACAGACATGCATACATACATACATACATGCATGCATGCATGCATGCATGCATGCATGCATCCATACATACATACATACATACGCATACAAACAAGCAGACATGCAGACAGACAGACAGACAGGCAGACAGTCAGACAGACATGCATACATGCATAAATTCATTCATACCTATCTGTATATGTGGTTATATATACATATATATATATATGTCCGAAGATATACACATATACATATACATATATATATATATGTATATGTATATATGTATGTATGTGTATATGTACAAGACTGCAGTGGCGCTTCGCGCCATGCACCTTGGTCCTTGAAGTTTGGCACGCAGGCGGAATAGCAGGAAGATCAAGCCGACAAATTAGAGATAACTCCTTGTTGCCTTTTCCGGCATCGCCGCTATGATACTGTTATTCGTTATCCTTCCTCCATGCTTCTTTTTCCTTGTTTTCGCCGTACCATGCGCATTCTCCCCATCCTCCTCAGCTCTTTTTTGCGGAGGCTCCTCCTTGGAGAGCCTCTGGGGGCCTCACAAAAGTCGTTTCAGGCTTTCTTAAGGCCTTCTGGAGGCCTCCTGGGCGTATTCTGGGGGCCTCTGGGGACTTCCTCGGGCCACCCTGCCTCCAACCGCGGTCTCCCTGAACGACCGGGTCACGATTTGGAATGCTTCAGAGGGCGTCTTGGGGCCATCTTGGGCCGCCATGGGGCTCTCTGAAGGCCATCTTGGACCCGTGTTGTGCCGTTTTGGAGCTCTCTTGGACTGCCTGGAAGCCCTTTCCGATGGTTGTGGGGCGATGTTGGAGCCTCCCAGGCGGCTTCGGACGCCCAGAAGACCACCGTCTTGGAGCGTCGGGAAGCCGAAAAGAGGAGAACCCCAAAATTCAGCAAAAAAACAACAGAAAATCAAAGAGTTGAGCCTCTTGGGGCCTTCTTGGGAGTGCTCTTGGAGGCCTCTTTGGGGCCGTCCTGGAGGCCTTTTGGGCCATCTTGAGGTCACGTCGGTCACTCTTGGAGCGCTCTTGTGCTGTCTTGGGGGTCTCTGGGAAGTCTCCGATGACCCCCCCCTGATCGCCCTAGGTGCTGGGAAGGCTTGGCAAAACGCCCTGCGAGGCCCAGGGGGCCGCTTCGAGGCCCGTCCGGAGGGTCCCAAAGCCCCAGATCGCGGGAGTCTGGTTTTGGGGGGGGGACGGGTTTTCCCCCCGCCCGGGCTTGCAAAAATATAGGAAGAGGAATATCGCCCACGATGCTCGACCGAGCTCCTCCCGCCGCTCCAGCGGCGCGGGGGTGCGCGGGGGAAGGGAGGGACCCTCAGATCCAGGCGATGCACTTTTTTCACACCAGGCGTGTTCGGACGGCTTCGGGCCCCTGGGACCCTCACAGATAAATCCAGCTCGACATATATTCAGAAAGAAGATAAGGTCTAGGGCTCTGGTCGGGAGCTTTAGCGACGTCTCGTTGTTGTTCGCAACATGGGATCTCAAGGGAAGAAGGGAGGGAGGGAGGGAGGGAGGGAGGGAAGGAGGGAAGGCGAGGGAGAGAGGGAGGGAGGAGGAAGGCGAGGGAGGAGGGAAGGCGAGGGAGAGAGGGAGGGAGGGAAGGAGAGAAAGGGAGGGAGGGAAGGAGGGAAGGCGAGGGAGAGAGGAAGGGAGGGAAGGAGGGAAGGGGAGGGAGGGAAGGAGGGAAGGCGAGGGAGAGAGGGATAGAGGGAAGGAGGGAAGGGGAGGAAAAGAGTGAGGGAGGGAGCGAGAGAGAGAGAGAGGGAGAGAGGGAGAGAGGGAGAGAGGGAAGGAGCGAGCAAGCGAGCGAGGCGCCGTGCGGTCGAGAAGGCCGAGCCCACTCGGGGCCGGGTGCGTGAGGCCGCAGCCCTCTCGGAGCGGGGCGAGAGGCAGAGAGAGAGATAGGGGGAAGGAAAAAAAACAATAAAACAAAAAACAACACAAACAAACAAACAAAAAAAACGAGAGAGGGGTGACGAGGATCACCGCCAAGACAGGAGTCTTGACCAGGAGCACTCTGAGCCACCCCCCTGGCCTCTGTGAGAGCAGACCGGGTGCCCCCCAAAAGAGACCCACGAGAAGGCGCAGGGCCTGGTCTCGAGCCACACCAGCACGGCTGCTCGAGCACGGGCGCCTCGAGCCAGAACGGCCGGAGCGAGAGAGGGACATCGGGGGCCCCCACACGGGGTGGTGACCACACCGTGTGGTGAGTCGGTGGGGATTCGGGGTCACCGCACGGTTTTGGGACTCGGGCCGTTCTCCGAGGACGTCTCGGGCGACTGGGGCGTCCGAGGCCCCAAAACCGTGCGCTGGCGGACCGTGCGGTGAGGCCCTGGGGGATCTCGAGGCCACCGCACGGTCTGTCACCGCACCGCTTCGGGACCCCAGGAGGGAGGAGAGGGCGGGGGAGGAGGGCCAGCCGGCATGCTGGCCACAGGTCTCGCGCCTGGTTGGGGCCGCCTGCCCGGGCCGGCTCCTCCAGACGGGCAGGCCCACGGTCAGCGCGGTGCGGCGGGAGAGAGGAGGACGCACGAGCGAGCTCGCGAGATGCGTCTCTGGGGAGGCCGTGGCCGCTGACCCGGCCAGTCTCGGGGGGAAGACGACAGGGAGGAGGAGGAGGAGGAGGAGGAGGAGGAGGAGGAGGAGGAGGAGGAGGAGGAGGAGGGAGGAATAGGAGGAGGAGGAGGAGGAGGGGGAGGAGGAGGAGGAGGAGGAGGAGGAGGAGGAGGAGGAGGAGGAGGAAGAGGAGGAGGCGGAGGGGGAGTAGGAGGAGGGGGAGGGGGAGGAGGAGGAGGAGGAGGAGGAGCGACAGGACAAGCGCCAGTGTCGCCCGAAAGGGACGCCGTGTAGGGAACGGCGGGTGCGCAGGGGCGCCTCAACCAGCCATGTGAACATACAAGGAATATAGACAGAGCACCGAAGCTCGTCATCGCAAGGAAATGTTTCCCAGGCCCCATCTGCCTGACAGATTCGCATTGTCGAACACATGTCGTCAAATCAGCGCAACAAGGGTGGTTGGGGCAGTCTTTAGGCAGACGTGTAACAGCAGGGTGGGTCACACGCCGCAACTTTCCAGCGCAGTTTTGTGTTTTGTCGTAAACCAGCTCAAATAAGCAGCGCCATCGTGTCCAGATTCAAGGTGTATGTGTTCCACCGCACGACATGATCATCTGATCATCCGTACCATGGCTCGAAGTAAGTGCTGGTAGCCAGAACTGAACTGGCAGACGAAGTGGTGAACGGGGCGTCTCTGTCGCTCTCTGCTTTCGTTGCTGTCGTAGTTACTATTCTCTGCCGCCAGCATGAAGCGTATCTCCACAGGCAGCTGTCGGTGTACCGGCATCGTGGCACACATTCAATATCATAGGTAACGTTCGGCGACGGCGGCGACGGGGCACTAGATTTTCCGCTGCAGGTTTGTCGTCAAAGCTCATGGTGCACACCCGTACAGTAGAATGGCACCAAGATCGTCGAGTAGGAGCAGCCAGTCGTGTGATGAATACGCCTTGGTGACAGTTTCCTGCCCAAGCAAATCAAGTTTTTTCCTGGCAGCCTTGATACGTGCTCCTATCTCTCCTCGGTACCTCTACGAGGTATCCGGCACAGTGCTCGGACTTCAGTCGCGAAGAATGCGTAACATCTTAATTTTGCTGGGGTGCCTCTCCAAGACTGCCGTCAAAGTAGTGTCCCGCACGTCTCCAATCACCTGTTCAATCAGGAGGGAGGAGGACGAGGAAGAAAGAAGAGGAGTGAAGGAAAACAGGAGGAGAAATAGAAGAATGGAGGAATAGAAGACTGGAGGAATGGAGGGGGAGGACGACGACGAGATAGGAGGAGATAGGAGGGTGGAGGAAGTGGGAGAGAGGAGGGGGAGTGAGGAGGAGGAGGAGGAGGAGGAGGAGGAGGAGGAGGAGGAGGAGGAGGGGGAGGAGAGGAGGAGGAGGAGGAGGAGAAGGGAGGAGGAGGAGGAGGAGGAGGAGAGGAGGAGGAGGGGGAGGAGGAGGAGAAGACGACGAAGAAGAAGCGGGAGGGAGGGTGGGAGGGAGGTAAGGGAGGGAGGGAGGGAAGAGAACGGAGGAAAGCGGAGGGAGGGGGAAGGGAGGAGGGACCCTTCTCCGCATTACCCCTCCTTGAGCCTTGGCCAGGCGCTCCAGCTGCGCTGGCGAGGGCGCGGATGGCGGCTCTGGCTGGGGCAGCCCCGCCGCCTGGTAGGCCCTCGCTGGCGACGCGGGCTGCGCCTTGCTCAGGTGCATCCTTCGGGGGGAGCACCGAGCGGCTCAGAGCATCCCTCCTCCTCGATCCTCGATCCTCGTGCTGCTGCTGCTCCTCCTCCTCCTCCTCCTCCTCCTCCTCCTCCTCCTCCTCTTAATTTTCCCTCGATCCTCGATCCTCTTACTCCTCCTGTTCCTCCTCCTTCCCCCCTCCTCCTCCTCATCCTCCTCATCATCATCAGCATCAGCAGCAGCATCATCATCAGCAGCAGCATCATCATCAGCATCATCACCTTCATCACCGTACTCATCCTCCTCCTCATCGCCATCCACCTCCTCCTCCTCGTCCTCCTCCCATGTCCTTATAGACACCTCGTCCTGATCGCAACATCAAACGTGTCAATTGGGGGGGGGGCTGGGCTTTTGGCCTGAGGATTCCTTTCCGGCTACGATCCTGAAGATTAAAACTCCAAACAGCTATACGTATGGAAGGTGGCCCGCTTTAAAAAATGTAACTCTCGCCTTGGCGCCGCGAAAGTGTCTTGTTACAGCTTCCACGATGGAGGGCTAATGGTTTTCAAAATGTGTTTCTCGCCTTGACGCCACGCAATATGCCCACAGCTAAGTAGTTGCTGAAAACCGAAACAAATTCAAGGAGGGAGCGCGGGCGGTTCTCAACATGTAGCTTTCGCCTCCGCGCCGTGCATGTTCGTCCCAAAATTCCCAAGAGTCCTTTTTCAGTATTGAAATTGACAATCACGACCCATTTTCAAAACGTGGCTCCCACTGAACAATACGTTGATAGTTCTGATCTGACCACTTCTCGGTTTTTCTCCGCTACAAACTGTGAATTCCCTGTTCCAGAACAAAAGACTAGGGACGGGAGAGTGGATTGCAGCATCGTTGGCGCATCTGGGCTGATTTTGTTCCTCTTCCTCCTCCTCCTCCTCCTCCTCCTCCTCCTCCTCCTCCTCCTCCTCCACGTCCTCCTCCTCCTCCTCCTCCTCCTCCTCCTCCTCCTCCTCCTCCTCCTCCTCCTCCTCCTCCTCCTCCTCCTCTTCCTCCTCATCCTCCGTCCCGTTTCCTGACAACCCGCCGCCACCTCAGTTCGCCTGTGCAAGAAGGCGTGTAAAATATGTGGCTGTTTCCCGACGTTTCTCATCACTCCCGCGGGTCCAGAAACCCGTGTGAGGATGGCGCGTGCTCCTGAGCGCACTTTAGAGCCTTAGAACCCTCCGAGCATCTGGATGCACCTCCGAAGCCTTCAAGGCGTTCGAATTGCCATCAGGAGAGACGGCCCAACGCGAACAGCCCAAAAGGCCCTGAGAGACTCCAAGAAAGGCCGCTTTGTGGCACCACCAGGCGTGTGCGTCGAGAGGCCAGGCCGCACGTTGCGCCCGATAAACCCGCGTCGCTGCTGATGGTGGAGCTTGGTGAATCCAACCACTTCACAGATGGAAGGCGGTTGGTTTTCAAAGTGTAGTGATCGCCTCTGCGCCACGTACCTTCGCATTGAAAGCTTAGAACAGATGAGCGGCTGAAGGGCGGCTGAGTCTCAAAATGTGGTGATCGACTTGCGGCCACGCAGTGGCCCAAAAACGTTCCATCGCTACACGGATGGGGGGCAGTTCCTTCTCAATGCTGGTTGGGTCCTCGCTGGAGACTTCCTCGACGGTTATGGCCAAAATTTGCGCACTGGCTACAGAGACCGAACGCGACTACACTTTCCTCCTACAGCGCTTGCACTTAAGGGATCTTACGACGGTTATGAAACTGGGCCGTGTCTTCGGTCTGGCGGCCCTGTGGCCGCCAGCGCCGCCCCGTCGCCGCCGCGTCGCCGCTTTAAATATCACAACATTGATCCTCCTTCCTTCGTTTTTGATACATACAAATATTTATATATTTTTTACAAACAAAAAAACTGTACCCGACCCCCGGGATCATCGGCACCCTATGTCGTAATGCAACTTACATACGATGTTGCCCCATCGTCCATCTGAATTCGTGCCATCTCAGCCCAACCGGTATGGCCCCCCCCCGTCATCTTCTGCCTACTATGCGCGCACACTCGTCTATCAATAACCAGGAGCTGTCAAGAATCTGTTTGGTTTGCCCTCCCCTAACAGACCAACTGCACACGCGCGCGTCGTCGCGCGCGCATGTCGGAATCCTTGAGAAAAACATTCGGTTTCGCAATGATTTCAAAATCGAATACACCAAAAACATGTAAAAACACAAGGTTTCGCAACACGGACTTCCAAAAAAATGAAAACAAATAAATGCGCGCTTCTGCTGTTAAAAATCATGTTGTCTTTGAAATAACTGCACCATGCTCCCAAACAGGCTTCGCGCGCGAGCATGTCGAATTCGTTCGAACGCCCTTTGCGCACGTGCCACACGCGCGCGTCGTCGCGAGCGCATGCCGAAATTCATTTAAATACTTTGTTTATGTGTTTTTACTTTCACTTTTTTATTATTTATATATATATATATATAAAAAAGAAAAAAAACAAAAAAAAAAAAAAAAAAAAAAAAAAAAAAAAAAAAAAAAAAAAAAAAAAAAAAAAAAAAAAAAAAAAAAAAAAAAAAAAAAAAAAAAAAAAAAAAAAAAAAAAAAAAAAAAAACGGTGTGTTAAAGATTTCAAAATCGAGTGCCCAGACGATACATAAAAAAACACCTTGCGCGCAACACCAACTTGCGCGCTTTTGCGAATTCTTCAAAAACCAACCAGTGTGTCCAATATGTTCATAACATTCTACCAAACAGGCATCGCGCGCGCATGTCCAAATCGTGCGAACGTCATTGCGCGCGTGCTGGGGCGGCACGATCCGTGCAAATAACACCATGCGGGCCACCCCTGCCGCGCGCGCATGTCGAACTCCTTCCAAAACCTTCATAACCGACGCGAAGACGCCGTCACCGTCGCCGGCGTTATCAGCACCCGCGCCGTCACTGGCTGCCCCGTCGTCGCTGTCAGCATCGCCACCAGCATCGTTACTATAATCATCGCGTCTAACGTTGTCGACGTTGCCATGATACCGCGCCCGCCCAAGTCGCCGACTCGCACTGAAATGCCCGCTGGGATGTGTCAGCGGTCGACACCACCGCGTTCGCGTCGGTCGCGCCAAACTTGCTGGCCGCTGCGCGCGCGAGCATGCGCGGGCCAGTGCGGCCGCAGAGATGCACCAGCCAACACCAAGCATTCATCGCAATCGCTGCCGCATAGGTTTTGCAAACCGGGTTGCGGGAGGGCGGGTGGGATGATTACGCGAGCAATGGAGTCGACAACTTCACATCTGGCAAGGAGCCTGCACCACATAGCTTGCACCACATAGATTCCAGCGCGCGAACTGCACCAAGCGGATTGCACAACATAGACTGCACCACATCGAATGCACATATATATACATACATACATACATACATACATACATACATATATACATATATGTGTATATATAGTGCACCACGTAGACTGCACTACATATACTGCACCACATAGAGCGCACAACCTAGATTCTCGTTTGTTTATATGTACACACATAAAATATATGCTTTCTTGTATTAATCGACCCCCCATCCCCAGGATTATCGGCACTCCTTTTCTCCTAGCAATTTACATATGATTCTGCCGGCTGTCCATCATAAATGAGAAATCATACCAATCCAGGCAGGCCGGCATCAGCCCCCCCCGCCACCCCCTTCAAAAAACATTATGCGCGCACGATCGCTTATCAAAAATCAGCACAAATAAAAAACGCGACGAAATGCAAATCCTTCAAAAACCTTCGGTTTCGCGCGAGTTTCAAAATCGAGCGCCCAAAAAACATGCTCCTTGAAAAACAAAAAATGGCGCGCGCGCTCTTGCGAATTCTTATGGTAGCCATGGGTGTTTCAAAATTTTCACATAATGCTACCAAACAGGTTTCGCACGCGCGCAAGTCGAACTCGTTCGAACGCCCTCTGCGCGCGTGCCGTAGCGAGAACTCTTTGCAATAGTGAAACGAAGTGCGTCGCGCGCGCATGTTAAACCTTGGGGCCCGCAACGCTTCCACAACCGCATGTCCGAAACACATATAAAGACACATGGTTTCGCAACGCTGATTTCCGAAAAATGCGCACCCTCGCGAACTCTTAATAAAACCATCGGTATTTCCACATGTTCTCAGAACGCTACCAAACAGGTCTCGCGCGCGCGCAACTCGAACTCGTCCGAGCGCTCCCCGCGCGCGCGCCGCCGCGAGAATTCTCTGCAAAAATGAAACGAGGTGCGCGGCGCGCGCACGTGGGCGCCGATGGAAAACCTCAGTCTCCGCAACGGTAGCACAACCAAGCGCCCGAAACATATATATATATAGAGAGAGAGAGAGAGAGAGAGAGAGAGAGAGAGAGAGAGAGAGAGAGTTATATATATAGCATGCTTTCGCAACATCAATGCTCAATATTGCTTCTCATCATGTTCACGGAATTATGCCAAACGGGCCCCTCGCGCCGCATGCCGACATCATTCACGCGCCCCTGCGCGCGCGCTGGGGGAGAGGCACGATCCGCACCAAAGAATACCACGCGCGCCACTCTCGCGCGTCGGCCGCGCGCGCGCGCCAAACTCTTTCCAGAACCTTCATGACCGACGCGAGGACGCCGTCATCGTCGTCGGCGCAATCAGCATCCGCGCCGCCACTGGCCGCGCCGTCGTCGCTGTCAGCATCGCCACCAACATCGCCACTATCGTCGCCGCGCCCACCGCTGTCGACGTCGCCACGATACCGCGCCCGTCAAAGCCGCCGACTCGCACTGAAGCGCCAGCTGGGATGCGCCCAGCGGTGAGCGCCACCTCGGCTGCGTCGGTCGCGCCAAAGTAGTTGGCCGCCACGCGCGCGCGCACGCGCGGGCCGTCGCGGCCGCAGAGACGCCCCAGCCAGCGCCAAGCACCCATCGCAATCACCGCCGCACGCGGCTTGCAAACGAAATTGCGGGCGGGTGGGCGGGAAGTCTGCGCGAGCAGTGGAGTGGGCAATATCAACTTGAGCATGGACTAACTC